TCATTACTCAAATAGGGCAACTCGAGCTGTGTTCACCCAATCCTGGATATTTTCATTCAAAAGGTGAGACTTTCCTGGAACTGGGTTTGCTAAAGCCTTAATAAAGTTAGTCACTGCAAATAAAGGAAGGAACTCAGCTAGCTCCACAGCAACCACACACACACACACATATGATAAATATATATGGATTGGATAAATATATATATAGGATATATATAGAGATATATATGATAAACACTTTTTTTCCTTATAGAACTTTTTTCAAACTTTGAGCATATTTTAAAATGCTTTGTTTCAGGCCAGTGCGGTGGCTCATGCCTGTAATTTCAGCACTTTTGGAGGCCGAGGCAGACGGATCAGGAGGTCAGGAGATCGAGACCATCCTGGCCGATAGTGAGACCATCCTCACCATTTAGTAGAGATGGTGAAACCCTGTCTTTATCAAACTACAAACATTAGCTGGGCGTGGCAGCTGGTGCCTGTAGTCCCAGCTACTCAGGAGGCTGAGGCAGGAGAATTGCTTGAACCCAGGAGGTGGAGTTTGCAGTGACCCGAGATTGCACCTCTGGTCTGTAGCCTGATGACAGAGCAAGACTCCATCTAAAAAAATAAATAGATAGATAGATAATAAAATGATTTACTTCAAGTAAAGGGGTACATTTGCAAAGATTCCCTGCAGGGAAAAAGGGAAAAATATCACTTTTTTCAGGACTTCCCTTGTTTCAAGCATTGAGATGGTATCTTTGCAGTGTTGTCTCATAGAAATTGGCCAAAGCAAAAACAAACAAATAAAAACGAAATTGGCCAAACCACACCTGAGAACTGTTCCCAGGGGCTCCACAGCGCTCAGCCAATATGCCCTTATATTCTCTTGGCCAAGGAGAGAGCACATGCTTTAGATAAGGCAGTCACCTCCTCTCTCCCAGGAACTTGGCTCTTGAGTGTCAAAAAGACTGGAAATGGTGGAAAGTGATTTGTCTCTTGTGGCAATGTCCTGAAGAGATCCTCCATTAGATCCATGAAGTAGCTCTGATTCCTCTGTGTTTTCTTGTCTTTTAACGCTTTGAATGACCCCCATCCTTCCAATGTATTTTTTCCTCTTTAAGTTAATCAGAGGAAAAACTTTGCAAGTGAAGACCCCTACTTGCTGCCTCTATCGCTCTGTCTCTGGCATGTCTACTCCCTGGGCCTGCCCACCACATAATTCCAGAAAGCACCATTCATATTGTATTGTATGGAGTTGTGAATGGTTTTCTTGGCATTGTTCAAGTCATGGCTCTGTTGCAACAGTCTGTTTTAGACACTTCTGCCAGGGGCCGTCTTTCTAGAGAACGCGTTTCAGTGTGTCATTTCTTTCCTCAAAAACCGTCAGTGATGCTCCATTACGATAAGTACTAAGATCCAAACAGGCTTCAGGACAGTGCACCTCCCTCCCGCTGGTTCTCAGCATCACCATTCACGGCATGCCCCTCCCCTTTACACCATCTGGCACTCAAGGCCAGGCAATCAAACAAGCCATTCTACACCCTGCATTCTTCATGTTTGCCTGATCCAGCACGGGAATCTCTTCCCTTTTTTCTCTCAGTACCTCATCAGTCAACATTCTAACCACCTTCAGAGACCCTGCTGACATTCTGCTGTCATTGACTTCCTAGACCTTCCTGGTCAAATGACCACATTACGTTATCTTGCGGTTGACCAGTTGTACTTTGTATCCCTGATTATTGCACTTCCATTGTTTGTCTCTAATGAGAGTCTCGATCAAAAGTCTTTTCTTGGCTGAGTGCAGTGGCTCATGTGAGTCTGTAATCCCAGCGCTTCGGGGTGCCAAAGTGGAAGGATCCCTTGAAGCCATGAGTTCAAGACCAGCCTAGGCAACATAGTGAGACCCCGCTGAGCACAGTGGCAATCAGCTGTAATCCCAGCTACTTGGGAGGCTGAACTGGGAGGATCACTTGAGCCCAGGAGGTCAAAGCTGCAATGAGCTATGATGGCGTTGCTTCACCCCAACCTGGATACTAGAGCAAGATCCTGTCAAAAAAACCAGAACACCAAAAGCTTCTCCCCTGTTTTATTGTGAGTTCCCAGAGGACAATGGCTATAGTACCTGCCTGGCATCTCCCACAGCGCCCTAGCAGAGCACCTCACTCGCTCCATGCTTTCTATTCAGCGGAATGGAAATCTTTACAGTTCTTTCCAGGGAGCTGGAAAGAGTTAATATGGGGAATCCTAGGAAAGTAATTTTTTTTTAAGACAGACTCTCGCTCTGTTGCCCAGGCTGGAGTGTGGTGGCGCAATCTCAGCTCACCTCAACCTTCTTCTTCAGGGTTCAGGTGATTCTCCTGCCTCAACCGCCCTAGGAGCTGGGACTACAGGCATGCACCACCATACCCAGCTAATTTTTGTGTTTTTAGTAGAGGCGGGGTTTCACCATGTTGGCCAGGATGGTCTCAAATTCCTGACCTCAGTGCTGGGCCTCCCAAAGTGCTGGGATTATAGGCGTGAGCCACCATGCCTGGCCAAGAAACAGTCTTGCTCCTGAGGTAAATTTTCTTCACTTTATTACCAGAGAGAACTGTGTAAAATACCTGCAAGAGTGAGTGAATTCAATAAATAAATGTGTTAAGGGAAAAATTTTTCTCAAAAATAGATGCTTTTCTTCAAATGTCAAATGACCCACCTTCATTCTTGGAACTTTATTTTCTGAGAGACGCGGAGTATGCGCGTCATTTTAATAATGTCTTTGACAGCAGTATCTTAAATTTTAAAGGGGAAAACACAATTATATATACAAAAGAGGGTCATACGACATATTATATTACTTTGTTTTTATTAAAATGTGTCACACTGTACCCAGGATAAAAACAATAGTGGAATGTAGGGGCATCATCAGGGAGTTTAAATTTCTCAGTTGGAAATCCTGCACAGTTAGAAGTGGGCTATATTTAACAACGATGGTGTTTTATTTTAGTAACTTGTCCCCTTCCTGGTAGAACATTCATTTCTGTTACTTTTGTGAATTTCTGTTGCTTTTAGCCTAATATAGTGACGCATTTTCCTGCACTGAATCACTGACTGTAATTTCCTAATAAAAGATCATTGCGTTATCTGGCATGGCCCCTTTGAAGCATCCTCATTCTTGCTTCTCCAGAAAAAGAATTCCTTAATAATGAAAAGAAGGAAGAGAAGAAGGAAGGAAGGAAAAAACATAGGAAGGAGGGAAGAAAGAGGGAGGGGGAAAGGGAAGGAGAAGGGAAGAAAGGAGAAAATGAAGGTAGGAAGGAGAAAAGGAGGGAGGGAGGGAGGGCAGGAAGAAAGGAATGAGGGGGAAAGAAGAAAGGAAGGAAAAAAGGAAGGGAGGGAGGAGAGAGGGAAGGAAGGAAGGGAGGGGAAGGAAGAAAGGAACGAAGGGGAAAGAGGAAGGAAGGGAGGGAGGAGAGACGGAAGAAAGGGACGGAGGGAAAGGAAAGGAGGGAGGGAGAAGGGGAAGAAAAGAAAAGGGAGAAAGGAAGGAAAGAAGGAAGGAAGGAAGGAGAGGAAAAACCGCTACCTTCCTTTGAGCTGTTGCACCGCTTGAGCGATGCTCTTCTCTAAGGCCTCACAGGGCCCCTCAAGCTCCTGTGTGTGAAATCTCCGCCCTCTTGTGGTGGGGGTGGTTCTGAGTCTGTCCCCTACTGTGGCCAGCTGCTTGCTTTCCTGTCTTCATAATCCATCCTCCACAGGTGCCCTCCCGATCTTCTCCCTTTTCTTTTCCCGTGTGCTCTTTGTTCTCTTCTCTTTATTTCTGCATCTTCCTCCTTTTCACATTCACTTAGCAGAAAGAGCAGACAAACACGCCCATCTGAGGACTGTTGGAGTGTCTCTAGAACATCAACTCCCATTGTACCGCTTCTCCAAGTTTCTTTCTACCACCAAGCTACCTTCCCTATTCAGTGTCCATAAAACCCCAATTCCTTCTTTGGGCGCTGTGTACCCCTCAAGTCTTCCATAGTTAAGGAAATAATTGAAGACCCTTACTCCTCTCTAATCCATCTGTCTTTAACTCCTTTAGAACACCTGCTCTCATACAATGACAAAATGGTGAATTTATCCATCTTTAAAACAAAAAAGCAAGATTCTAGCCAGGTATGATGGCTCATGCCTATAATCCCAGCACTTTGGGAGTATAAGGTGGGAAGGTCTCTTGAGCCCAGGAGTTCCAGACCAGCCTGGACAACACAGCAAGATACGGTCTCTACAAATTTAAAAAACAGCTGGGCATGGTGGCACATACCTGTAGTCCCAGCTACTTGGGAGGCTGAGTTGGGAGGATTGCTTGAGCCCAGGAGGTCAGGGCTGCAGTGAGCTGTGTTGCCACTCCAGCCTTGGGGACAGAGCAAGACCTTGCCTCAGGAAAAA